TAACGAGGCTTACACAAAAAAAAAAGTAGTTAGTAAATAGCAAAAAAAAAGAAAAAAATAATTACCATAAAGTATGAAAAATAAGCACGCTTTTTTTAATTAATAGTTGTACTTATTCACTAGTAATTTGAAAATTGCTAACATGTTAATCTCGTGATTTAGAGAATATAATTAATTTAAAAGTTTATTAGAGTTTATTTAAAGATCCTACGTAAGTGCTGTATCATTATCCTATGATGAATAATATAGATCAATTTGTTAAAATATTATTTATAAGCAAAAAATACATTACATTGGGTACTAATATAGTACTATATAAGCTAACTTGCATGATACGTAGTGAGTAGACTGGTTTATAATCTTCATTTTACTAGTATTTAATAATGCAAAAAGAAAAACAAAGAAGTTATACTGTTACTTTCAAACTTGAAGCTATTGAATATGCCAAAAGAACCAACAATTTTTAATCAGTATGCAAATATGGTATTAACTATACAATGGTCTCACGTTGGCGTGAACAGGAAGAGGATTTTAGAGTTGCAAGAAGTTTTAATCAGCGAGTTGGTTCTGGTAATAAACTATTTTATTCTCTAGCAGAAGAAGTATTAAAACATTGGATTGATAAATTGTGCTATGAAGGAATTGCAGTAATGCCTTCTGCTATAAAATTGAAAATGCAAAATCTGCTTGCAACAGATTTTATTTAACTATATCCAAATGCATTTGAAACTTTTAAAGCTTTTAATCTTTGGTTTTATAGCTTTATAAATCATCACGATCTTTCTCTTTGGCATCAAACTAAAATTAAACAAAAATTGCCTCAAGATCTACAAGATAAAATTTTAAATTTTCATAATTTTATCAAAAAAGCACGTGAAAATAATAATCTTGATCTTAATTGTATCGGAAATATAGACGAAATGCCAATTTTTTTTGATATGGTTGGTCAACTTACTGTTGATTATCGATATTCTAAAACTGTGCAAATAAAAACTACAGGAAATGATAAGAATCGGTTTACTTGTGTACTTGCAGCACTAGCTAATAGCATAAAACTTTTGCCAATAGTCATTTTTAAAGGAAAAAGACTACCTAGAGGTTTCTTTCCTCCTGGTATATTAATCTGAATGTATGAACAAGGATGGATAGACGAAAATTTGATGCAAGATTGGATTGAAAATATGTAGATGAAACGAAATGTAGATATTGAACAAAACTCAAGCACAATTATAGAACAAAAAAGAAGTCTTTTAACTTTAGATGCATTTAAAGGACATCTAACAGATAATGTTAAAACAAAATTTAATGACAGTAATACTATTATGGGCGTTATACCCGAAGGACTCATATCGCTTGTTCAACTATTAGATGTTAGTATAAATAAGCTTTTCAAGGATTGCTTACGTGAAAAATAGAGAAATTGGATGGCGAATAGTGAATTTCAACTTACTAAAGGAGAAAATTTCAAAAAGCCAGCATACAATTTAATGTGCCAATAAATTGTTGATGTCTGAGAAAATATTTCTACTAAAATAGTCATTAAATCCTTCAAAAAATGTGGTATTTCAAATAAACTTAACGGAAGTGAAGATTATTTTATATATAAAGAAGAAAAGAATGATGAGCCCGAAGAACCATTTGTTGTTTTATCAAATGATTTAAAAAATGATCAAGAAAATGCTTAATGGGTTTAATATTCAATTGCATAGTTAAGTTCTTCTGCGAAACTGTTTTAGATATTAGAGTAAATTTCCAATTGCTATTGTTTATAAATTCTTATTTCTTGTATGTGTTTAGTGCAGCATTAAATTATTAATAGCACAATAATTATGTATGTATATAAATAGTTATGTATATAGTTGATACTATAAATATGCTTATTTACAAAACACAGATTTTTATTGTAAATATGCTTATTTACCATATGTGCTTATTTTTCATATTTTATGATATATTTAATCCACCTAAAAAGAATTATCTAAGTAAATAAGAATTGCCACAAACAACAGCAACAAAACAAAGAAAGCCTAAAATCACCAATAATACCAAAGCGTCAAAAGTCTTGAATCCCACAAGTGATGGCAGCAAAATGGCGAAAGCTTGAAATCACTAACAACAGCGAATCGACAAAAGGCTGGAATCCCCATAAAAGATAGTACCGAAATGACAAAGCTTAGAATCTCCATTTTAATTAATGATGATACCTACAAAAGCAGTACTATTAACTAAAGTTCAAATGAAAGTTATATTAGTTTAAGCTAAAAAGGCGAGAAAAAAAAAAACCAAAGATGAAATCACTTATCTCACAAGATCCGGATCTATTCTTCACTACCTACTGGGTTTCTATCAAAGCAAATCTATGAATAAATAAAGTTAGTAATAGGTCAAAAAAAGAAACAAGCAAACAAAAAAAAAAAAGCAAAAAAAAAAATTCAAGCTCCTGGTTTTAAATAAAAAAAGCACTAAT